GGAAAATAAGGGCAAGCGTCTATGAGGGTAATAGAATACGCATATGGCAACTACTGTCCGAACGTCTCGTATTTTGGACGGTAATCACAATAATTATACGTGGTAGAGCCATATACTGACCTTTAATAATTAAAAAAAATAGGTTGTAGCACGAAATGGTTGGCTTTTCCGAGAAAAAACTACACTCCCATAGAATACCAGCGTGAAATAGCAGCATAATGCTGGTGTATTTCGTATGGTAAGTGTAAATAGGAAACTCTTTTTACTTGTACAACATTCTATTCCATCTTAGTCTTCAGGAGTGACAACGCATCTGCCTCTTGATTCTCAGCTAAGGATAGATGTAGGTGTCATGTGCTAAAGCAACTACTTGCCATAAGATCGACAATATACTCATTTGACACCCCTATTTACCCTTACATATTTTATATAAAATCATAAAAAACATTATGAAAAAAAAGTTAAAATAACAGCATATTGCTGTTGTGTTTCGTATGGCAACGTTCTGATAGAGTTTTAAAATTATCTCAATTTATATATTTTTGAATAGAGTGCGATAATTTTTTGACGTGATAAGATTTTTGACGAGCACCAGATGATTCGTCACCGCCTCCTGCAATCTGACTCTACATTACTGAGTGTGTTAACACAGCGTACTCACTGCTTTTTGCTTTTACAGGACAGAAAAATAAAAGTAAAAATTTATTTTTATTAATAAATATTTACGTAAATAATGTCAAATAAGTTTTGAAGTGTCTATGTAGCGTATTGCGGGTATATAATAAGGCAATATGTGTTTTAGAACGCTTTATTCTACTCTCCCATATCTTACAACCCCATTATCAAAATCAATGTTTTTTTCTTTTCTGCTAGGAGATAACAGTATTTATAAAAAATAATGATTGCGGTATAAAGTTATTATTTAAACAAAAAATAATCTTATAATTCTGATTTGATGCAATGCTGTGTCAAAATTGGGAGATGGTCTATACGAAGTTATGCAGCATTAGTCTCTTGCTACTTATATTCAATTATGAAACGAATTATCGTGAATGAATTTCTGTCGTAGTTAATAGTAGACAATATAAATAAATAAATTTTCTATATAAATTTACGCTTAATGCTCTTTAATAAAATTTTCACAAATAAACGTTTTATTTTTGAATGGGCTTCTTACTGGTTTTCCAGGAAGTTCTAATAGGTAAATAATTTTCAGTGCTTTTTCTAGTCATAAGAAATAACAAGCTATTTATTTTTAGTAAATTAGGAGTCGAAGGGGTTTTAACAACAGGTCCTTCGAATATTTTCACCCTTCCCATAAAGCACCTGATTACCCAGGCTTGTGCTGTATACCGCGTTTTCCATGATCCACTTTTGAAACTTTCTAACCCTGTGCCGGAGTGAAGCGGCAGGGAGGGGCGCGCGCGGGTGCCATAGTGAGGGTACCGACCTCATTGCCCATTGCCACTCCTCCCGCCGAGGCGGCAGGCCATTTTTAATAAAAATACTTCCGTGTAACATATCGCGCGCGGATTTTTTCTTAAACGTCCTGCAATCCACGAAACATTCGGACTTTTCTTTTTTTAATTTGGTGGTAATAAATTAGTAGAATACTGTAGATTTTATTTTTAATTTAAGTGTTAGAAAAAAGTGGATTTATGAAATAAAAAAAAGTTATCAGTGCGCTTTGCGGACTATTTTCCGTGTGGACTCGGCTGCAATCGGTTGCGAAAAGTGGCGGAGTTCGGATATCTCCGGCGGCCTCAGGCGTGACGAGGGCGTCCAAGCCACCCCGCTTGCGAGCAATAGAGACGGAGCACATGCTGACATGGCGACAACACCAATGGATTAATGTTTTTCACGTGGGAAACTCAACCCCTGAACACTTTTTTGAAAGGTAGGTTGACCTAGATGCTGAATATATTTTCTTTTCTTAGATCATTTTACATCTTTAATTAAATCCATTTTAAGTACGTTCTCTTGTCCTAGGATGCTGTTAGTAGGAAAAGCCTTCCAGTGTCGTTTAGTCAATTAATGTAGCTCGTTTTAACTTTATTATTTTAAGTCCCAACAGAGTCTTGTTTTTAAAATAAAATTTAATTTAGGGAAACATGTCTCTATTGAATAATAATATATACTAGAATAAACTCCACCCCAAAATCGCCAGTGCCTATCTTATAAGCCATGAAATCACTTTATATCTCATTAACATGATAAGTATAAACATAAATACGTGAGTCACGATCCAGTAATCGTTAACATCAGTGTAATTTAACTTACGCGAATGCAAATCAATGAATTTCAATAAATCAATATTTTACCGTGCACCCTGCGCTGAATATATCCGCTGCCGCCATTTCGATGATGACGGCGTATTTTTTGTGAGAGATATTCGAGTCGCGGAGCGAGGCGGTGTTCGCCGCGCGGGGTTGCGGCCGCCAGCCCGTCAGTCGTCGGGTGAGCGGGGTGCGACGTAAACGCGGACTCGGACTATGGCGGAAGGGCTGTTCGTCACTCCCATAAAAGGGTCGAGTTGATTGTTGTGCAGTACGTGTGGTACGTTATTATGTTAGTGCAGTGATATAATTATTCTCAAACTGTCGTTATCACGACGTATCGCCCGAATTAATGTGGATAACGTAGGTAATAATGCCATTGTGATGACGTAATGTACCGCGCTCGACTGGGTGCGTAGTAATAATTCGAGCGCCCGTTTATGCCGCGATAACGTTTGTGGTCAGCACCTGTAGATGCGAGGCGAGATTTTGATGTTTTTATATGTTACATTCATTTTGGCGATTCTAATAGGAATCTTATAGGAACTCATAATAGGGTTGCTTAATTTTTATTTTACGAAATATATATAGTTATACAATATTAGTGAAATCCAGATTGCTTAAGGTTTTAGAGCTTGATATTCGTGCAAGGATTTCCTATATATAGACACCTACTTGGATTTACTACACGTAGAATGTTTTCCTACTGCAATGCGCTCGTTGATGCACGGACTCGCCACCCGCCGCTAGAGGCGCCCTCGATTTTTTTAACCTTGATTGAATCTACTAGGTACCTATCTGCGTACCGGATCATTCATAAGTTCATAACAAGCCAGTTGAAATCACATTAGATAATTTCAGATTTTAGAAGGGTTTTATAATAATAATAGTCTTTAATTAGGTAGTTTATTTTTATAAATTAACGAAGTATAGAAATTTATTAGTTTAAAATGTTTATCCTATTTACAATGATTTATATCAGTTGAAAAATTCAATTACAGATTTTTTATTATTATTATTACTATTATTTAAAAAAATCCAAAAATAAAAAATATTTCTATAAATTTTTTTTTCTTTTTAATTAAGAAAACATGATAGATACGCAGCTTTTTTTATCAAGTTTACATATTATCTTATTCTCTTACAGGTCCTCCTGCTCCCGTCATATCAACCAAAATGCACTAGCACTATAAAACATGCAATTTAAAAATGGCTTCTAAGTAAACATTATCCATTGTTAAAGTTTTGTTATATTGTTCATGGAACAAGAGAGAATACTTATGTATACATCATTCATATTGTTAATACATTAGATTAAGCCCAAACTGGCAGAAAAAAAACGCAAAGATGGCTACGCAAAGGTTTTGCTTGAGATGGAACAACCATCAGTCGAATATGTTATCTGTATTTGATCAGCTACTACACGCAGAAACGTTCACAGATGTGACGATAGCGGTCGATGGCCAGTTTCTTAAAGCACACAAGATGGTTTTGTCGGCCTGCAGCCCATACTTCCAAGCACTGTTTTTGAATCATCAAGAGAAACATCCAATTGTTATATTAAAGGATGTACCTTACTCAGATATGAAGTGTTTATTAGATTTTATGTACCGGGGCGAAGTAAGCGTTGATCAAGAACGTTTGACCGCGTTCCTAAAAGTAGCTGAGAGCCTAAGGATAAAGGGCCTGACTGAGGTTAACGAGGAGAAGTGCGATATACCGGCTCTGACAAACTCGCTGATCCAACAGCAACAAACCGGTGGTAGTGCACACACTCCGCCACCGCAACTTCATAGAATACATCCGTATATGCATCAAAAACGACCGGCGTCTGGAATGCCCAGTGGAGGCGCACCTCCCAACTTGTTAATGCCTTTATTGGGCAACGCCCTAATGCAACCAAAAAGGAAACGAGGTCGGCCGAGAAAGCTCAGTGGAAGTTCTAGTGATGCGCTGAATACTGCAGCGAGCCCGCCGGGCGAGTTCATTCCGGAGACCGCATCGCATGCTCCTTCAAACAGGGCCGCCGATCAGTTGATCAGAGGATCACCGGAAATGCTCGAGGTCAAAATGTCTATGGACGGCTTCAGTGCAGAGGACGGTGCGACATCTGGCGGTGAAGAAGCAGGAGAGGCTCTTATGATCGACGAGGGCGACGATGCTCAGTCTAACGAAGCTCCAACCTCTGGCAAGGACTCCGAGTCTGCAGGTACGTGCCTAGTTAATAATGTTATTACGACGTTAGCAAATGTATGCTTCCTTTATTAGTTTAATTTTTCTTATAGAGGAAAAATTGCAATCAAATATTAAATTTAAATTCCCGATATGTATAACGACTTGTGTACTGTACAAAGAAAAATACACTTAAGTAATCACGCGAAAATCCTAATTTTGCTTATCTTTTGTAAATACATTATAATTTTCCTTTCCATTGACCTAACACCGTTTTAATTTTTTATAAAATGTATAAAGAAATAAGAGAAAAGCTAATGGGATATAAGCTTTGATGATAGGTATTTAATTGAATAAGTGAAAAAGTGAAGTGTATTATGATTACCTATTTATTTATGATATTTAAATTTTATTCTGAAGGGGTAAGTGATAATCTATCAAATTATTTTTGACGTATACGTTCTCGATAAAATGCTTATTTCTTCTACAAGTCATCAGTTTAACTATTGCTTGCTTTTCTGCTTTCGGGGAGAGCTATTTGAGGAATGGCCAGGGGCAATTTCGGTGTGGTAATGGTTTGAATAACAAAATTTCACTCTATTAACTTCTTAAACATATATTATATAATACACATAAAAAGGGAAAACAAACAAGGCTTATTCCCAATAGCTTTCCTTCATTCAAAGCATAATTGGAAATATTCTAGTTTAGTAAGATCCTAATTTTATTTTTTGTTACCTGTCCTGTCCTACTACAATATTTCCAATCGAAATCATATTAAAGTATTTATGAGACATTTCATTAAAAAGATAAGAATTTGGCATTACAATATTTCAGATACTGATAAAACAACAAAAGAGGACTCCCAAAACAACTATCCGTCAAATGGACCGGTCCTTAAAATTGAAAACGGATCAATAAAGCAGGAGCCCACCAACGACGCCACTGACGATTACAGTGAACCAATCGAATACAAATACAATCCGGAAAGAAGCCGCGAAAATTCTAACTCACAGGAGGGTCCTATAAAAGATACAGAAGACAAAGCCAGACTAGGTCGTAACCTGAAACCAAAGAATAGTAAAAAACTGCTACCCCAAATGTCCAAATTTAGAGCTCGAAACTTATTTAGTCAGCTCTCCGGTCTTTCCAATTTAAATCCAGCGCTTAACAGTTTTGATAAATTTCCTCCCGAAACGGTACTAATGCCCGCTTTGGCAACTCAACTGTTTGCTGCCGAATTAGAACAGAACAACCTTAACATACCTGGCAACGAAATATCCGATATATCGCAAACAAACTGGGAGCATCGCATTTTTCCATCCCCCATAAGGAAAAATAACATAGGTAGCGTTGGCAGCTATCACGAAGAGACTAACGAATCAGTAAGGGACTATTGTATTAAGGAAGGTGAAAATGTTTTTCGATGCAAAATATGCGCAAGGGTTTACACGCATATCAGTAACTTCTGTCGTCACTACGTCACATCCCACAAAAAAGATGTGAAAGTGTTCCCTTGCCCAATATGCTTCAAAGAATTTACTCGAAAGGATAACATGATTGCGCACCTGAAAATAATACACAAAAATCAACCGAACGCCAACGAGCAAATGGCAAAGCAAGAGTCTTAATTCAAAACAAAAGCTTTATACTCAGCTACTTAAATTACTTTTGAAGTAACAAAGATCTGATTTATCGAGTAGGGTTCGTTTATAAGTAATAGAATTTGAATTTTAAACAAAGCAGCTATAGTTGATTGCAATCGAATAAGCGTTCGAGCTCTAAATTTCACGGATGTATCAATAAGTTTGTTGATATTAAGCGACAGTACGTCGTTTGTTGTTATATTTATCTATTTATTTATGTTGTTCCATTTGTTCTTGGAGTGCTTGAACTCGAAAGAGATTTATGGTGAATTCTATAATTTACTTGTTAATTTGCACTCACTTGTTACTTAATTTTATTACTTACAAAAATTTCAGGGTACAAAGTAATCTTACTCATGGTGATTTTAACAAATGTAGTCTTTTGGATTACATTGCAATTCTCATTGAACTGAATTAGTTAGTATAGTATTAGAAGTTACGATTACAAACAAGTATACCAATGGCGCGGCCTTTTTGTAAAATTATAGTTTATAATTACACGTAAGACGCTATTATATTGATAGTGAAAAATCCTAATGAAGAGGCTAATTGACGCTTTTTACAAAAAGGTTGTTTATCGTAATGCCATTTAGTAGTGGTGTGAAATGCATTTTCATTTAACTTGCCTTATTAGTGATCTTAGATGTTAATACAATAACTTCTCCGAAGTAAAACTCAACACGGGCTATGATAATTACTAGGTTTTTTTTGTTAAGATTAATTTAAAATATTTTATCAATGTTAATATAATTGATAATAGATATTATGCAATACGATTGTAAACTATGTATTTATAACATGGGAAATATATAAAAATATGTTTAAAAATCACCGTTATATAAAAAGGTAGATTAGACTCAGTTCCTCCAATATATTGACAGTTTTGAAGCTCTAATCGAGCTTAAAATAAAATAGCAGATTATGAACCACATCGATTATTATTATTCTGTATGGAAGGCATATTTATTTAAAAGAATATTCTATATATTAAATCTTAGTTTCTGTCAACGACAATATGATAGAGAAAATATATTAGAACATTACACAATATAGGGACAAATAGATATCTATTAACATGTTCTATTTCATTTTAAACTTTTAGTAAAAAATATATATTATCCCAAATTTATTTTAGATGTTAAAAATTGTAAATATATAAAAATGGTACCACGTGTGTTGTCGTTAAAGTGATTTAAGCAAGGTGCTTTGAAATTAAATAACATGTTTAAATACTGGAATCATGAGATGATTTACAAATTATATTTTATTAGAAGTCAAATGCCTTAATATAGTAAGGAATGGTACTTATAAATTTTTACTTAATTTAGATTCGAATGTAGTCTTCCATATCTAATATCGATGGTCACACATTTCGTTTCAATTACGGGATCATTATCGATTTAGATACTTCGTTTTAAATGCATAAAGTTCTATTCGTATTAGTACTACAATATAATTATGTTGTTGACCCCGAAAAAAAAATGTTTCCAATGTAGGTAGAGTCCAGGGAACGCTTGCCTATTAGTGTGCCTTTACTTGTAATAATAAGTTAAATTACTACAACTACTAGGTGACTAAGAAACTCAAAGAATATTATGTATAATTATTTATTTTCATTATTCAGAGTTTACAAATCTACTTTAAGAAGCTTCCTTAGAAATATAGTGACCTCTAGGCCCAAGTAGTTAATTATACCTAACACTGATAGTTGTACGTAAGAATATCATCTCATGTTTCCCATTTTCTTGGAAATTAAAAACTACTTGAACTTAAAAAAAATATGTAAGTGTTTGAAGGCAATCGCGCCTAAATAATCAAATTGAAGACTGTTAAAAATCATTAAAAAAAGAAACGAATTTATTGTACCTACCTTTCATAAAATTTATACGAAATTTATCACGGAACTCGTTAGGTACTTAAAACAAAAGAAAGGAAAATATATTTAAATAGAGGTGGGGCTATGAACGGAATCGTAAATCACGTATTCATATTAATAGTCAATTTAGCCAGTGCCTAAGCCTAACGTATTTGGAAATTCCAATGCAAACGTACATTTTCAGTGTTCCTTTATGTTGTAGATATAACAGTTTATTTATATTACAACAGAGTTATATCATAATTTTAATAACAATGAACATTATTTAATATTGTTAAAGCTATATCATCGATTGGTGCTAAATTAAACTTAAGAAAATGTCACATGTGATGCGACGTTTTATAATATTGTCCCTAATATATATATAAACAAATATGTATATTGTTTGTTGAATTGTTATTTTGAATGTTCTTAAGATTCCATTTCTGTAAGGGCAAATAAATTAAGAAATGGAATTATGTTTGCACTTCATACTTACAGAGCTATAAAACTGTTTATTTTATAATAGAGAAATAATATCATATTTATTGCAGATTCACAACCTAGACTATGTACTTATTATTGTTGGCTCGTACACAGTCAATATTTCATTAAAATATAATTTGTTGAACTATAGAAATTCAATTTTTGCAGTGTTACTATTTTAAGAAATTCAGCTATTTATTACTTAAGTACATAATAGAAATATTTATTAATTAAAAATATATATTTTCTTCAGATTAATTATATCTGTATCACAATAATTATAAAATCAAATAAAATTAATTAGAGGGGTGTTAACATTGATTTGTAGCTCATTCGATTTCTCTACTCATCATGAACTTAGAAATACAGTACAGAACTTAGCAAAAATAAAATTGAAATGATTTATAGAGTTTTTAAAATCTTTAGATGCTATAAAATGTAGTTACAATAGAACAGTGATTTATTGAAATGAGGTTTATCTATTCGATAAATAAATGGGGCCAATTTCGTGCCCACGTTTAACAACGTAATATGTATATTTCGTAATGTATGTAATGTTGTAGAAATTTATTAATTTCTTAAAGAGATTATTTTAAACACTATTGTAAAGGATATTTAAAATTAACTGCTTTCTATAACTAAACTAGTTTTGCGTTTAATATAATATGAAAAAACATACTTGATATTATTTTTCAGCAGTTAATTTTAAATAACTTCCAGTTGTCGTTTTTTTGTCTGTATGTCTTATTTTGGAACATTTATATCAATACAAAAAATATTGATCATAAGGTAAAAGATAAAGTAATACGAGAATCGAATAGATCTATACTACATAAAATGATTTAACTTCACAAAATATGGACGATATATTATTACATTATAGTCTTTAGCCAAATGTTGAATCCATATCTGTTTCGTTACGCACTTAGACAATAGAAAACGCAAAGAGTAATTATTTAGACAAACGGAGATTAGAACAGAAAGTTACACGACATAGAATTATTTGTTATTGAAAAATTTCTTCAGTATACAATAAGGTGTTAATTACTATTTTTAGAATCTTTAAAGAGAATAATAAAAGTTACAGCAAAATTAGACAATCTTTTAAATTCATGTTATCGTTTGGTTACGTTTCACTTGTTATTTTATATTTTTTTTTCTACCTTATATTGTTTTATATCTTCATACGTCCTGTATGAAGTTGTTTGGGCGTCCAATAAGTACTTATCGAATATGGCCCAGGAATGATGTTTTAAATAGTTTTTTAAATAATGTAATTTGAATTTCATTATAAACATCCAGTGTAACGAAATATGTAGATTCCGTTTGTATGTATAGATCTCAGATCAACAAAGAAAGATAGACCGCTGCCTACATTTCAAGAGTACGCCAAAACCGTGCCCAATTTATAGTTAAAAAACGCACTCACGCACATAAACATCTGAAATAATTTGCAACCAACAACATGATTTTAGGTACAAAGTATGTATCGAGCAGTGGACTTTTAAAGGCCGTTTAAAAAAATAAGAAAGAGGTGTGTGTGAGTGCGAATCAAAAAGTTGTACATGATTTGGGGTCACATGGAATGTTCAGTGTTTTGTCTATCTTTACTTGTTGATGTGAGGTAAAGATTTATATTATTTTCACAAACATTTATATATTTCTTGTACAATAAAATGTTACTCATTAAAAAGAAACACAAGAGATGTTCTAGAAACAAGGGCTTAGCGTATAGGGGCTAGAAAAGAGAGACAAAACCTTAAAGTTTCCGTTCTATAAGTTTTATTTCTTCGTAGGCTACTTTTCTATGCATACAACGTATCTATAATATTTCACGTTGCTGTTGAAGACGGTCATATTACTGTTATTGGTGATATAATCAACGACGATGCTATTGATTTTAAATTTTAATTTATCATAAATTTAATTGTAATAGTAGCAAAGTAACAACACGGGTTATTAGTAAAGATTAGAATAAGCTATTTATAAATACTTTAGGCATAAATTGTGTTGTTAACAATGGAGTGAATTTTCTATAATCTAGAAAATTTGTAGTCACGAAGAGAGGACTGATCAGGTAGGTATGTAATCATAATGATACTACCCTCGTATCGTAGTTGGTGTGGTTAGAGCTAGATAAAGTTTAACAATATGCTTTCTATGTTGCTCAAAATGACGCTATGCGAGATCAAGTATTTTTGGTTCAGTACAAATAATTGCTTTTGTGATTTTATTTTACTTTTAACGTTTTCTTTGTTACGATCTATAGATAGAGAGGCTTTATATATTAAATTCTTGTTAATGTTTTAATTTCTGTATTCTCCGATAATAATTTTAATTTACAATATAAACTTTTTTATTTTGTATCTATACATTAAATTGCAGCTACAGTTATATTTCATTTTCAACTCAATAACCCACCTTTTGTGATCTTATAAACTGAGTGAGCTGGAACGTTATTTTTTGTAATAATTATGTACCTACTACCGAACTTGCCGAAATAGTTCCAAATGCAATCACTTGAGTCCTATTATAAAATAGTTAGAAACTTCTTTTTTGTTACATTTTTTAATTTATTACTTAGCATAAAAGTTATAAATAGTTTAAGATTTTTGACTTTGCTACAATTTGACTATACGAAATAAACATTTCTAAATTACACTGCCTAGTGTTGTATAGAGATTTAGTTTGCACATAAAGAAATCTATCATGCCTACAAATGCGTGGAAGTAAATGTTTGATATCGATTCGTCTTAAATTGGAATTTTTGTTTCCCTAGTTTTATATATTTTATTTTAGAATTTATTGCATGGATGAATTTGCTTCTGCGCCATTTTTACGTTATCATAACTTGGTGCTATATTTTGCCACGTACTTCGTATGGCAAGTAATGGTTGTTTACTGTGTTAGCTTTGGCTACCTTGGCCGTGCGGCATATTCATCCATGAAGCAGTTCCATCGCTCATTGTTTCCTTTTTTATTCATGGTGTAATAAATTTCGTCATTTCAATTTGAACAAATAAATATTATTATATTTTCGTCTTTTGTTTTTTTTTACCTTCCTTTTTTTACTTTTTTAATTTCTTTAAAGTAGACGCCAAAATGTACGTACAATGTAGACAATTAGTCTGAATATATTGTTAAATAAATGGTATAAACGATTTATAAAGCTTCCTTTCACTGATTTCAGGACGTGGAACACCCGAACTTGACAATAAAGATATAAAATACGCACAATCCCCGTCAAGCGAAGGACATGGAAAAATACGTGTAAACCCTGTAACACAGAACGCTTCAACATCTGGGGAGTATCATAACGACTCTATTAATAATAATACTTTACAAACAGGTGGCAACCAAAGACCAGTTGCCAGGAGAAGATTACGGAGAAGAGCGAACTCCGCCTCCAACGATCCAGCGGAGCAATTGACGGAAATGTCAGTACGAGGCCTGAATTTATTCAGATATGCTTCCGTGAATGAGGGAGTGTATCAGTGCATTGAATGCGCTAAAGAAAACATCCAGAAGACATTCAAAAACAAATATTCATTCCAGCGGCACGCCTTTCTTTACCACGAGGGTCAACAGAGGAAAGTCTTTCCGTGCCCCGTATGCTGCAAGGAGTTCTCGAGGCCCGATAAAATGAAAAACCATATGAAAACAACACATGACTGTTACGTGCCAAAAGATTGTGTTTATCCAACTAACGCATTTTTCATGATACCAGGAATGGAAGGCCAACTGCCGCCAGGGCTAAAGCTAGAAGCCATCGGTTCTGGTTCGCCTCGTGGCTCTACTCCTTCGCATTCTTCTCCTGATCCTACTCAAGTTTGAAAAAATGTCACACATGCCCCATCTTTCCACGTTCAACTTTTAGGACCGATTACAAGTGCCTTGATTAGATGTTTTAAATAATATTTTTCTTCAGATAAGTTTTCTATATAGTTATAAGAGGATCCTGAGTTTGATAGACATAATATTTGTACTATTTTTGGAGTAAAATTTTGACGTACACTTTTATTGTACGAGACGTATATTTCCAATGATACTGTTATGCATTTAAAATCTAATGTTTGTTACAAAGAGTTCTTAATGTTAAATTTGTTTAAAGAGTATGGTTGTGCAAATATTAGACAATAAATATACATACAATAAAATAAAGGAGGCCAGTTACGCGGTTATTACGGCGTTATGTGTTGTTGTATTGGCGAAACTATTGAGCTTTTATACGTGTTGTGCAAGTCTGAAAAGTGCCCTGAATTTATACAGTTTTATGAACCCCACTTACAGGGAATTGCTGTGTGGAGTTTATTTAGAATCTGTATGTGTTTTACAATTACATTTGAGCAATTAAAATAACAATATAAACAATAATAATGCCTCACAAAACGGCAAACGGTTTCGGTATATTAAAATTTATTATCATGATTAAAATTGTTATAATAAAAACTTGTACAGACACCGGAAGCAAAGATGTGTAAAGACCCTTGGTGATTTTGTTTCGCTTTTTTCAATCATAGATTGTTGAAATACCGCAAGAGACCGACCAAAGACTGTAATTAACTTTTGTATCCGTTTTCGCAATACTAAATCGAGATTTAGATTAACTATTTCTCCGATATAAGTTGCCCGTGTCATATATCAAATAAGATTGTGTTCGTTGCGATGGCAAAAGTTATTCACTTGCGGACGTTTTAAGGATATATAAATATAGTTTAATATAAATGTTACTTTTTAACCGTCTGTTCTTATTAAAGACTTTAACTTAGATTATAAAAATATACGATTATTACTGAGTCTATTGTTACAGTATATACCTACACATATCTTTATCAATATCAAGAGATGTTATATGTAATGGGTTAGAAATATCAGAATGCTTACGTAAAATATATTAGTGCCATAGCACGTTTACTTGTATTAATTATTGTTTCCAACAATAAATTTTCATTATATAGTATAGTTTTAACAATTATGTTCTAGTTTATGTACTAGAACAGAAAACGACAATCAGCAGTTCTTCCATTGATAAGGGATATAGTGTTTGTTAGTTAATGTTACTACTAAACTCCATGTTACTTTTAAGTTATCGTTCGAGGTTAACAAATCTCCATTTAGGAGTAAGTTTAAATTTATGAAGATCGAAAAAAAAATTGGTGAGCAATTTATTTAGTGTTACAATATAAATGTATAGATTATAGCTATTCGATTACCTACTTAAAATATTGGTTACAATTGGAGTTTCTTTTGTGTTTGAAAATTGAACGCACAACATTAAGTTCGTCGTTAAGTTTATATAGGGTCGATAGATATCAGTTTTGTACATAGTGTAAGAGTGTATTAATTGAATTATAATAGATTTAATATCGCCATTAAGGTATTAACAATTGCAGTGTGATTTATTTAGATAGTTATATCAGCGCCAGTTTGTCGCACAAATTAATCGTTTGCATTAATGATCTTTTATTTTGCACAAAGAAATATTTCTTAGTTTTTCTTTTTTTATATCTTTTATTGATATTTTCTCTTTACCGGCAATATTTCTGAAAAAGGTTTTAAGCGGTGATTTGTTTTTTTTTCTTTTTGTAGTATTTTATTTTGTGATATTAGTGCTAACTAAGTTGGCTGTTCATGTTCATTGTTATATCATTATAATTTTTTCTTTTCCTTTCTAACCACATGCTGCAAGGCAGCTTAATTAAATTTATAGTTCTTTATATATTGAAAGATAATCGTCATATTAAGTATTATTATAGGCCATAGACAACAAGTGCTTGGCTCTAACATTATAAAATACATATAGCATCTATGGATACGTTTTAAATAAAGAATATAGTTCGTTTATAATATAGTTTTTAACATATTTTTTATTAAAATTATAAGATTTAAAAATGTCTACAATTACTAATAAAAAGTGAGCGTATCGTAAAATATCCTTACTACTTACACTTACTATGACACTATTCCTTTGTCCATTTTAACTTTGAGTTTTCAACAAATATACGTTATATTATACCGTTACAAGATTGTGTCGCTAAATTTAATAAATAAGGCGTCATTGAATAGCACTTAAAAATTTTTCATTTTAATTCTAAATTCTAAGAATGTAACCTCTAAGTAATGGTACAGATTATTGTCATAGGAGTTTTATTGTTCAATACAAGTTAATTATGCACGAATACTTCACACTTAACCTATGTGCAATGTTTTATTCAACTGTTGTTTATTTTTTCTATATTCTATTATAATAGTTATCTAAAATGCAGATCAAATGATATTTATTGTGGTGTAAATCTTCACAAGTAGCATTTTAGTATTATTAATTCTCCTATATTTTATTTTTATTTTGAGTAGCTTTTCATGTTTCCCTAGTATTTTAAACCTAGCAAGATCATATGTATAGGATAACTAAATTGTAGAGAAAACTTTAAAATATTATAATATTATTCAGAGAAAACATATGGAAATTGATTATTATTGTTTATTAACTTGAGTAACCACTCTATAAAGTATTCTTTTTATAGATAACCGCTGAATATCCGTTACAGAGGTATTCTATGGTGTTTATTTTTTGAGTTATACTTAGAAGTTATGTCGTTTAGTTACAATCTTTTAACTAAATTGCACCCACTCCAATCTAACTCTTAATTGTGATCATATAGGATCATATTCTTGATTGTGATCACTTAAGATCATTGCAAACAGTAAAGCTTTAACAATTGATGTAAATCACGCAAAAGATTTGTTTTTACTGTAACAAAAATAAAGAAGACAATATTATAGAAGGGAACGACTTTTACCAGCGTATTAAATGTTAATGAGAAAAAAGTGTACACTGCAAATAATAAATAATTCATGTAAAATAAAAATTTAAAGACTACAAATTTGTTTATTTACCCTGTGCAAACTTTACAGTTTAAAAAGCAAAGGAGCCATTTTATGGTAGCCTGATCTTGTCATAGCAAAGGTACTGTTTTTTTATACAATCCAAAAGCAGGTACGGTGCATGGTGCATGAAAACTTATTAGTGATAAAAATAATGAACTGGAAGAATTCTCTGCGTTTGTTTCGTATGTGGAAACAAAACACAGCCTTCACAGTTTTAAGCAGTGTCGCAATGTTAGCAATATAATCATTTAAAATTCGTTAAGTTACAGCTTATATACGTCCCACTGAGGGCACAGGCCTCTCATATCTGAGAGGGTTTTAGGGCAAGGAAATGTCCGCCTCGCTGCTCCAATGCGTGTTGGCGAAATGCGCGTCTTCGAAATATTTTTTTTATTCTTTCTCAGCCGCAGGTTTCCTCACAATGTTTTCCTTCACCGCCAAGCACGTAGTAAGCATTTAAACTTATATAATTACATTTTATATAATTAAGAAAAACATTAAAATTAGTTGCGTCAACTCGGGGGTAAGTGCACGCCATAAATTTCACGTTACGCGATCAACCTTGGCTGGGCTCGAACCCCGCAGGCACCTTGCAATTTTAAATGTTATTTTACCACGTATTGGCGGTGAAGAAAACCATCGTGAGTGAACGACGAAGTCCAGACTATTGGCAGTCACAAAAGTAAGAGGAGGCCTGTGCGCTGCAGTGAGACGTACATTAAGCTGAAACTAAACTTTTATTGAAATTATATAACAATTCTGGAATAAGCTATTCATATTTACATATTATTTAACCTTTATTACAGAAGTCGCAGGAAGACTAATAATACACTTGATTATTTTTTGTTATTAGCTTTTCTAGTATTCAAAACACGAATGGCATTCAATGATTATTGCAATCGTTTTTATAGATAATATATCACAATGGTGGTAGCCTATCCCTACTACCTATGAAAACTGAACTTAGCAACGGTTTGAATGTATAAGAATTATACGATCCAAATACTTGTATAATATATAAAAAGACTGAGCGAGTACGCGCTTATGAACGCCACTGAAGTTTGTTGTCTGCCTGGGTGATAGGACATCAATATATGTCTGCCATGCAAAATATATATGTCAAATAATACTATCAACAACTATATATATATACATTGAAATAACGTAAATTATAAGAAAAAAATTGTACTTGTCAACCTGTCTGTCTAGACCTTGGGACCGCCATAGATATCTGCCAATGTTATTTTTCAATAACTTTTATTGAACATTTCAAGATATCAAAGAGCCAGACTTATTACTTTCACGTATTCTTCGGTAATTTTTACACCTTAGCGTGTCTATATCAACCGCAGGTCAAACTAAAGAGCCCATTTCATGTACCTCAGGTATAGGGGATTAACTGAAAGAAACGTGAAGCTTATTGATAATATCGTAAGTCTGCCGCTCATTGGCTCTTAAACTAAAACGAAAACGATAAATTATACAATTATTACCTGTAAAGATTCATAATAGAAATGATGTAACAATCACTGATAACACGTTTTAGAGCAAATAGTAACAAAAATATTACTTATCAAATTTTGCAGATTTTCAGTACACGTATGAAGATGATGGAGAAGGTAACAGCTTAATCACTTTAGAGGTTCTCTCTGATTTATCACAGACAGAAAACTGTGACCATACTGATTTACCAAACGAAGCCCAACAATTAACTGGAGAAACCCAAGAAGCTGCAGGCGTCCATTCTGAAACGGAAGATTCAAAAATAGAGTCAACGAAAAACGTTACCAGCGATAGTAAAGAATCAGATCCTGTAAATATTTCGAAAGCTAGGACTGATCTCTTGGAATACATGATTCGGAACGACGGTAGTGTGGTATGCAAGCTATGTGGTGAGATATTGCAAAGCCGGACGCACTGGTATAGGCACAAATACAAATTTCATGTAATGCAACCGTTAAATCCAGCGCCACTGTTCCAGTGTGAACAGTGTCTCGTTTTCTTCAAGAGCAGAAAAGGTTGGTATCAAGAGAAACTAAAAATAAATCAAAAGGGAAACATTGATTCGTTTTTTTACTTATTTCGTCTGTTTGTGTAAATCATATTTTATTGTCCAAGTAAACTGCCACTGTACAACTGTGCAGTGAAGCGACTATGAAAAATCCTAAAAGTCATCGGTAAAAGTTGACTAACAAATTTGATAAGAAAGAAGTGTGGTATATATCACTATGCTAAGAGCGAGGCAACACAATGTGCTGGCGATGCGTTGCGACCTCTGAGCGGTGAAGTTGCGTCATTATCCACACGGTGCGTTGCGACGTCGCCTGGCGATACAAGTCATCCGCACAAGGGGACCAAAGAAACGTAGCGAAAAGGGATGATTCGGTGTGACACTGAAACGATAGCGCAATGTTTGTTGGGTGCGCAAACGTTTGTCAGCGTTTCGGTTCTGCGACGTCGTCGTAGCAAGCGGCGTTCCGTTGCGACATCCATGTGATGTTTTAGGTTTATAAACTAAGTACACTGTGGGTGTGTGGTACTATACGCTGTTATTTATGTTATACTCTGTGTGGCACTTAATACGTCAAAATCCTAGCGATACGGCAACATGACGCACCGGCAACGCCCATGTGGCTTCATTTTAAGATCATTGCCGGTGCGTCGTGTTACCGCAGCGGAAGGTGACACACTGGAGGCCACGAGGCCGGTGCACTTGCAACGCGACGCTACTTGCTGCAGCGCCGCAGCATCTCGATGACTAGGTGTTGGGTGGGGTCAGTATGTATGTTCAGTATGTAATAATAATAATATCATTCAGACCGAATTTCGGTCACGTGGGCCAGTCTTTAGAGACTAACCTGTTGCGCAGGACAGGATTATAGTGCCCGAGTGTATGCGTAAGCACAGGTGCACTCTCTATACCCTCACTCGCATAGTCCGATGGGACGACGTCAACTTCCTGACTCCAGACTGCTACCGAGGATTTCTTGATAGAGAAACGCAAGTGATTTTTTCGGCTATATTTCGGATTCGAACCTGGGACCCCATGATCAGCAGTAGCATTTACGACCACTAGGCCAACAGGGCAGTCCAAAAGTTTAGTATGTAAAGAGTAGGAGGGGAAACTGAATAAATGGTTTATCCCAGATATAACAAAATTTTCTAGGCATTGTATGCAATTTCTAAATGGTACAAGTAAGTTTAGTTTTAACGTGATAGAGCTATACTACAGCTATATTAATCGCTTAGTTGTAGCACGAATGGGTCGGCTCTACCGGGGAAGGGCCACGCTCTCACAGAATACCTGCGTAAAATAGTAGCGTAATGCTGCTGTGTTGCTTATGGTGAGTGTAGAGAATCGGAGACACTTTTTACTCGAAAAGAGGGGTTCCATCTTAGTCCTCCAAAAAAAAACAACGGTACTATCAACGACAGTAGATTGTGAGGTGAGGCCAAAGTCGCATACGTTTAGTTGATCCTGTCAGGCTTAAGATGAACTATATAGCCCAGGCAATAGTATTTTGTTCTAACAAAAATACTATTTTGTACATTTATATATATCTTCTATTTCCCTTAATAGATTTAGGTTGTTATTTTAGGGTTTAATGGTCACGTAGCCAGCAGGCATAGCGAGGTTTCGACAGACTCTAGTCCTGTGTCATCAAATTCACAAACAGAAGCACTCGATAAGCAACTCCAGACGCAATCGGAGATCAAGGACGCAACGGATCCGGAACTGGCAATACCAAAATCTAGCGTGCCAAATTATCAGTCTATTATGAAACAGTCGACGAAACAGTTGGACTCAAGACGACAATGTAAAAATAAAGGTAATCAACAAAAATACTAGTTACGAGTTATTTCCATGACTGCACTCTACTATATTTGAGATTTTAAATCGTTTTTACTGTGATTACTAAATAGAGTTTTTTGTAACGAAGTTCCTTATCGCACGGTAAGACTTTTCCGTCACGACCCCCTTTCCATTGTGCGTGCGAGATGGAATAATATACATGTTCGCGCCAAGCGCTAGTTTCAAGGATTGACGCGAGAGGGCGCTCGGCGCGGAGCATTCATACCGGTTTGACTTTCGGTCGTGCGAAAAACGCACAAGGGCAGTCAGTCGTCTTTAGGCAGTACTAACGATTGGCACGCTGTCATTCTGTTACGGAACTCGGAATAATTAGGTGCGGCCCGTAAATATACGGTCTAGGATTTTGTGACGCGCATTCCTGCTGGAGAGCTTCCCGGGACTTATTGGGTCCGACTCAGAATCTGTATAAGTGCATTTGACAATATTAGCTAGTGCGGCCTCTGATATTCTAGAACTAACTGTTGCAACGCGAAACGGTAGCGACCTTTGGTCCAGAGGCTCCGTGTACGTTTTGTGCGGTAACCTTATACCCCGCGATAGTTAGTGGCTTCTGTAGGTTAGTTAATTACACGATAGAGTTAATTGACTGTCATCGTGACGAAAGAGGAAAGTGATTGTGGTCCGGCGCCGAAGCAGTCTGAAGCGTTGCAGCATTTTGGAGCAGCCTGGAACTCGGCCGCGGCTGGTCGCCTATGCTTGACAAGGCCCCAAACATTCACACCTCACTGTACACTACTCGCCATCCACTATTACACACACTCACGGCCTGCCCAAGCCTTAGTGCGAAGTTAGCTTCGGATAATGGTAAGTACTATGTCTTTCTAACGTCCTCCCATCTGGTTTATTGTAATTAGGAATTTCCACGTGGCCACATTGAGGCCCGACCTACGTCTGCTCGGGAAGTCTTCAGCTCATGGGCCCCTGAAGGTTTGACCCTTTAAGGGAGCAGCCGTAGGCCGTAACAATACATTTCCCACGCATTTTTTCCTATCTTGCCATGAAAAAAATATTATTTTAAATGATGCTTCATTTTAACCCTTTCGCTGTCCCGTGCACTACATATAGGTCATTGCTATTGTCTTACTATTGTGTCTGGAAACCGGACAGTGAACGTGTTA